ACACAGGTTTCATCACTAGGCATTGGTTGTCCCGCAAAAAAAGATGGTCCTGTCCAAGGACCTAATTGTGTCACTCCGATGCCAGGCTTGTTAAATGGACTTGAAGAAAAGGCCGCAGCCAGGGCAGCTGCCGTCTCTAATTGGGCCAGGCTGAGTCCCGTGCTAGGGATAAGACTTGTAGGGTAATTCGCCAAGAGGGCTTGCGATGATCCAGTTTGAACGGCAGAGCAAGCAGTTTCATCGCCCATTAGACAAGGTATATGATTGGGTAGATTATAAGTTGAAGTCGGAGGGGTCATTAGGAGACCAGGCGATCTAGTAGCAAAATGTTTTGTAGGGTCTGCGTGTAGATAACTGGAGAGACTGGGAAGTCCGTTCTCGGAATAACCTGGAATTCGCTTCCCTGGAAGGGTAAAAAATGTACCACTTCCTGCGTTATTAAGGGAAGAACGTGCACGATTTTGCATTGTTTGACCAATTATACGTTGTTGCATTAAGTTGCCTGAGTGGGGTGTATATTCACAAATAGATGCTTTTCCTAGTGGACAAATACATCCATTTACCCCTCCGACAGTGGATGTGGACATTCCGTTTGTTTTATTCGGAAGTGCAACAGACGCAAGTGAGGAAGAACTTGGCAATAGGTTCTGAGATTTTACGGATGACCCATTGAAAGTAAATGATCCAGCCTGCTGTAACATAGGGTTCAAAGAGAACTGATGACGATATAGTTGGCTTGCTGGAATATTCGGAATTAAGACTCTCGGTGCGTAGATCGAATGAAACAGTCCGCTTGATCCACCTCGGCTCTTGCGATTCGACACACTTCCACTTGCTGCACTATAAGAGCTCAATGGAGCAACACCAGAGCTTGCATTACTGCATAAATGGACATCATTTTTGAGAACCCTGTTAAGGCTTCCAAGTGGAGAAGATTCAGGGACTAGAGAAGTTGCTCTGGATTGTTCGACAGTTCCTTCATTTGGGACCACAGATGCTGTTAATTTTTTCCGCTGGTCTGATGATTTTCTAGTTGCATCGTGATTTGGTGATCCTGTTAATTTCTCTTCAGATATTTTATTTTCATTAAGCTGGTTAAACTCATCAGTCTTATTTGACTTTTCGTAGACTTTAGAAGTGGAGCTCATTAAGGATTCCCTTTGGGTAGGATTTGAAGAAGGAGTTAAATCAGATAATTTAAGATCGTCAGGATCACTCACGGTGCTATTTGTATTCAAAAGTTCTAATTTGCATTCCTCTTCCCCCTGGACTTGATCACTACAAAGATTATTTTCTTTTTTCTCTTTATTACAACAGCCAGCTGTCTGATAATCAGTATCGTTTACTATCTCTGCTTTTTCGTGTATTGTTAGAATTCTACCTGATGTGTTTATATCTTCATGATTTATTTCTTTTTCTTCTGGACTTTGCAATTTAGACCAGAGAGAAATTATTGGGCTCTGGAAAGACTTTACTGAGTTGTCATTTTTCTTAGGCAATTGGATATTAGTTGTGCTATTTAAATGTAAAAGACAATTTTAATTTATATCCTGAAAACACTATATTTTAATATATATATAATATTACAGCAAAGTGTAAGGCATAATTTGATACAATATGATGTAAAGTTAATATATTCAAAATGAAAATATGTTAGGCTTAACCATGCTAAGTTAAAGTTACTCTCAGGTAAACTACGCTAAGCCGATTAAATATACTTTATATAAAACTAATGTTAATCGGATCCAGAATCAAGTGGCCTCAGGTTTGTCTAAAGCATAAGTAATTTTAATATTTACATGCAAATACAGTTATCCAAAATACTCTTTAAGGAGGGAAATATTTAGAGGAAAATTGCTGATTCAAACTTCTTTGTAAATAGCCAGA